TATATATATATATATATATTTATATTTATGTATATATATATACACACACACACACACATATATATATATATTATTATTATCGCATTTACTTTTTGATATGAAAGTATTTATGATACATTCACTGGTGTATGTGCATATATGGACCGTTGTCTAATCAATATAAATATGGGTAGTTTGGATCTTATGAAATTTTGACTCTGCAAGATAGTACTCGGGTATGGAAGCACGAACGCACACTGGTGTTTATTATTGGTTGATGTACATATACTATTGTGGGTTTTTGTAAATATGCATAATCTCACATACTTGACACACTCGCATATTACGTTGTTAATAGTTGCGTATGTATCTATATACTTAAATTCAGCATAGCTGTACGACACCAAATATATTTTGGTTGATGTACAGATGCTTTTGTGGGTTTTTGTAAATGTGCATAATCTCACATACTTGATACACTCGAATATTACGTTGTTAATAATTGCGTATGTGTCTATATACCCAAATTCAACATATCTTTATGACACCAAACAAACAATATCCAAATGCACTGACCATTTTAAATATATGTAGGTTGTCACAAACCAGCCTACATCCAAGTATACATAGGCATCATTTGAACTACTGAGTAGCACCGAACAGCAAGGCTGTATTGTGTACAGCCACACGCAGATTCTGAATGTGTTTCCTGATACCTACTCAAAATATACATATATTCATATGTAAGTTCAAAATACATTGAAAATGCATTAAAGGCAACCCTGACGATGGGATTGACTAAGACCAAGTTTGTTTTCATACTGCAGTTCATAGCCCATCGATTGGGACTCATACCGATAAAGTCTGATGAAGTTAGCAAATTAGACTACACACGCGATTGCACATGTGATGATTATTGTGACCGGTGTTCGGCCATCTTGACTCTGAATGTGGTCTGTACCGAAGAGGGTATAGTGCAGAATGTAACGACAAAGGTATGTACGAACAAATACTTGAATGCATGTTTATTCTTATTCATTTGTGCTCGTAAATATCATCATCTCAACGGTTGTGCTATAAATCTCAAGGAAGATTTTATTCTAGTATATGTCGAAATGTATACACGTCTCCAAGTTGTTATATATCGATGAATTCCACCTTAGGTGCTAAAGCAGAAATATTTTTTTGGTTATTCGGATTTGGCGATCATTCCATCACCCTCTCAAGTATGTGACATACTTTCGGACCGTCAAATCGTGAATAATACTCGTATATGTATTTAATAGATCCATTATCTTATAGTGTTTCAATTTTCCTTGGATTTTGCGGTCTGTGTCTTGGAATGGGGGTAGGTATACAGATGCTTGATGTGATGGATCAGATATAGACTAATATCATGGTGTTACATTTTGCCACAAGTTAAACTCCAGTTTCTCAAGATAACACGTTTGAAGCATCAGACTCATCATAGGGTATAAATGACATACATGAAGCCGACTTAGCTCAATTTCTATATTATATATAGTTGTAGACTCAGATGCTATAGCGATATAGACTGTTGATCTCCACACACATAAGCTTGCTTACTTACGGCCACCAAATATATTCCACATTGATATATTTCACATTTGTATTCCGAAGCATGTATCAGCAATTTTATTTGTACATGATACACTTACTTGGTAAGATTTATTGAACATTGTAGATTGGATAAGAAATCACACAATGTATTTCATAAGAATACAAATTTAATGGTCTATGTCTAGCTTGATTCATTCGACTGGGCGGATTTATATCAATTTCAATGTACACGCATGGCATGATCGTAGTGGTATGGTATCGTTGCACACGCCGGCGCATGAAGTCCTACCATTGGTTTTGACATTCCGATGCATGGAACCCGTGGGTCTACACACTTGTTGATACCTGCAGGATTTGATTGCCGAAAGTAGTGATTTCGTGCCCATCAGCACACGCGGCGAAGATAACGCATACGACGACAGTGATGATATACTTATAGTGAAGTTGAGATTGGGTCAGGGCATTAAAATCAAATGTATAGCCAAGAAGGTATGAGTGTTTATCGCGTTTGTATAAAGAAAGTAGAGTTAAGCTTGTAGCTGGTTTGAATGACTTTTGTAGACCAGCACTGGCGTACGCACAATATGTCAATGTTGACAGCCAGGATATTTGGGAAATGATGTGGACGTTGGAGGGTCATGGCTATTTTATACTATAAAGAGAATAGCAGAACTTTAGTCGAAGTGATAACATGACATGGTACACATGTTGTGAATCGTGTATACGGATGTCTACCTGGGATATTCTTACTCGGCTACCAGAGGTTTCCCTGTATTTTTCACACCTCAGGCATCTCACTGGCCAATTGAAATGATGGTTGATATCAGCTGCCGCATGCAATTGACCCGAGTTTAGCTGAAGTTTACTGTTCAGTGTGATCACGTAGGCTGATTATGCACATCAACATTCGAGTGTTAAGTACTGTGTGCGCACACAAATCAACAAATAGTGCATCAAAATATGGCTACATCTAATTAGCTATTGTGTTGGTAACAACATCCTTCACTAAGTTTTAATTATATGTCAATTTGATGGAGCTGCGCTCGGAACTGCGCTTGTGCACTAATCCCGATCATTCGTTGACGTGTATTCAGGGTACGGGGAAAGAGCACGCTAAATGGAGCCCGTGCGCGGCAATTGGGTTCGAGTACGACCCTGATAACGCACTACGACACACAGTGCTTGAATTTCCAGAAGATTGGTATGTCTCCTGTCACACTAATTGCAACTGATTTGGTATTACATATATGCACGCACACCTTTGAAAATACATATGAAGTATGTGCGAACGTGCACCTACGAAGTTAATAGTTTTCAGACACAAGGTATAGTACATATCTACACAGTAATACACATTCATTTATATACGCTTACTGGCTATTAGAATGCCGTCTAGTTACATTATTGTCGTTTTAAGAATGGTATATTATTGTATGATTGAATTGTACAACGCAGGCCGAAGAGTGTATATTCTGAACACGGCCAAGGGGAAAACAACAGCAAGATGGTGGAAGCCGAACACGACTTTAACTTCCCATTAGACACATTCTATTTCAACGCTGAGGTAAGTATTGCAGAAATACTTTGGTATACTCAGAACATATCTGAGCAGTTGTGGAATCGAATTATCTTATGATCATACACTGTTTGCATATGCCATTAATTCCAACGGGAGACGTACTAGAGTTCGTATTGGTTTGCGCAAACATGATTGCGATTGTCACACAGAGTGATAGCATTGAGAAATCGCTGGCAAGGCGAAGTAATAGTGCATATTTGAAAGGAATATTGACAGTAATTTATGAGGCTTTGCAATTTGAATATGGCCACATACTTTGTGCCTAGCGCTGCATACTAGATTTTTTCTAATGGTAGAGATTCGTAGTCCAGTAGTTCCCGTATATATATAGGTTATGGGAGTATTCATAGGTTACATCTAACTTCACCTTGTCTATCAGCTCTATTTACAAATTGTGTGCTGGCTCGTTGCGTATCAGGGAAGCAAATACTTGCTCCTCTGTCGCTTTGTGTATATGTGTGAAATTTCCAGCAAAATTTCCATATCAGTCTAAATAGTTGATATGTGGCAATGGAAAGACTTGGCCTACCCATCAAGTTTATCAGCAAAAGTAAGGGACATGTACTTCCGTCATTTTAGTTAAGGAACTCGATTCTGAAACCTTATTGGATCATATGCTAATGATGCCTTACCAATTGGACGTCATGCAGAGCACCGGATCCTTACCTGCATATGATATACCCATGTTGGCAGTGAGAGAACTCAGGAACAAGTTAGAGAATCTCAACAGAGAATTGCGAGAATTGGTCAAACAAACGTCTTTTGACTAGTCTGTATTCTTTTAAAATGCAAAATAAATAATAAGCCCCCAGTTGGTCTCAAATAATTGGTCACTACAGCACAGTTATACATGGAATGCAAGAGTTGGCCAAAATATTTGTTGATGGATTATCAATAACTAAATCGGGACCAGCACGACATCGTATCTATCATAAACTTGTGTTCGTATGCTCTGTGATGCCTAAGAATGCCAATGCAGACATACCCTCTCATATTCGCTTCACGTTTCTGATTGTGAATGAATACTGATTTATGCAAATGGTACTGTCTGTTAGCTGTTGCATTTAAAGGACAGATCCCAATCTTGCGTGGTAGACAATTACAAGTTGTACACCAATCTTTATATATATATCTGTGTACCGAACGAATTTTGACCTAGAAGTTCCAGTATAATTTTTCTGCCTGTGGATCTCTATGTCAGTGAAGGGCAGGGGAATGCGATACATCAAAATGTGTTATTTATAGTAGGCTGGTCACGCATCGTCCTGTGGCGGCTTTTTATTATCGTCAATTCCCATTTCTTTGGTGACAAACGTTTTGCCGGCCATCTCCATAAAAGCCATAGCTTCGCTCTGGAATATTGAAGGATATGGTAGAATAATTAGGTACTAACTGGAAAGTCGTCTCCATGCAATCTTGAGATGCACTACTATATACTTACTGCTATATTACCATGCAAATAATCTATAATTTCCCGTTTATCAAACTATATTGAAAAATCCATACGGTCTATTACCATACACACACATATGTAGAAAATTTATAGTTATTTGCGTATAATACTCGTATATTATACGTGATTATATAGCAGCACACACATACACACAAACGCACACACACACAGACACACACATACAGACACACAGACACAGACAAAGACACAAACACAAACACAAACACACACACACACACACACACTTATATATATATTTATATATATGTTGAGTTTTTCGGTATCGTGTAAGAGGCAAAAAAATATTAAAAGATAGCAAAAATACAAAGCGGTTCAAATTATTAATCCCAAGGGGACCCCGTATAGTATTGGCAGCAAGGTTTACTAGGGTAGAACACTTACATAACCTTTTAGGGATTTAGGGTTTAGCTACCACTGGTAACTATTGTTTAAACTGGTATGGGTGTTCCCGTCTAGTTGATGTTATCTACTGATATTTAAATACCTCGTAGCTCGTAGCTACCAGCTTATCTTACAGGATGAAAATATCAAATGAATACCCGAAGTGACTTGCACTCTATATACAACAATATAACAAAATAACAATATAACAATACAACAATATATATACAGACACAGACACAGAGGCAGACATATATATATATGTATATATATAGATATATACACATATAAATATACATAAACATACGCACACACACACACACACA